CGATCTTATTTAATTTTATTTTTTCGAAACTCGTTTTTATTTACTTTTATTCTTCCAGGAATGACCTGTGGGCGCTTGGATGTACATTGTACCAAATGCTTTCAGGGACTTCTCCTTTTAAAGATGCTAGTGAATGGCTAATCTTCCAAAGAATTATTGCTAGAGATATCAGATTTCCAAACTATTTTTCCGCAGAAGCACGAGACCTGATTGATGAGTTATTGGTATATAATTAAAAATAGGCAAAATTGCATGTTTAGTCCTGCTGTTTAACGCCTGCTGTTTAACGCCGTTGCATTTTTAGTTCCAAGATTTCAACTTTTTGTCTTTTGATTCTGTAATTTAGTATTTAGCTGCAATTTCAGTCATTTGATACTGAAATTGCAACAAAATTTAAAATTAATTGCTAATAAAAAATTCATCCAAAAATTTTTTATTGGCAATTTAAGTCCTGTAATTTAAAATTTTGTTGCATTTTCAGTCCCAAAGGACTGAAATTGCGTTGAATTTTAAAATCATAGGACCAAATAGCAAAAATGTTCAATTCTTAGGACTAAAAACGCCACTGGATCAAACTAAAAGGACTAAAATTGCAGTTATGATTTTTTTTTAACTATATTCGTTTTTGCGTTGAACATTTACATTTAAATGAATGGTATATAGGACATTGATCCGAGTAGGCGACCAGGGGCAGGTCCTGGTGGCTATGCTTCACTGAAAAACCATCCTTTTTTCAAAGGGATTGATTGGACAAACTTGAGGGAAGGAACTGTACCGCCTAAACTTGCTTTGGAGTCAAGGGTAAAAGTTTCTTCTATTTATTTTATTTACAAAAATGGCCCTACCCTTTTTCTATGTAAAATATTTTCTTCCATCAGGCTCAATTAACTGGAGGTCAAGAGCAAGGCTCATTTTCAGCAACAAGAACAAATGATGATGGTAATGCATCGGCTTCTGAAGCTGGTAGCATAACTAGGCTTGCTTCCATTGATTCTTTTGATTCAAAATGGTGAGAGCAAAAAGAGTTTTCAGATCACTCATTGAATTCAGAAGGATAAAATCACTGATTATATTAAGAGTAAATTGCAATTATAGGTCTATGTGTTTCACTACCCTAACTTTTCGTCCTCTTCGAATTGCTTTTCATTTTTGTCCCTTATGTTTGCAAAAAAGTTACAAAAAGGTCATTTTCGCAACTAAAAGGTCCCTTATGTTTTGCAAAAAATGTTGCAATTTCGTCCTTATGTATGCTCGGGGGACCTTTTTGTAACCTTTTTGCAAACATCAGGGACGAAAAACAAATCAATTCGAAAGGGACAAAAAAGTTATGGTAGTAAAAATACAGGATTAAAATTGCAATTTACTCTTATATTATTTTGATACATATGGAACTTTTGGATGCTTACATGTGTGTACCTTGTTA